GTTTGAACTTTATTCCCGACTATCGAGTACGGTCATGTAATCCTAGTAATCAATGGAGCCAATTACTGTTACAAATTGTTAACTTTGAATTGATTTGAGTCTTAATTGTTGATGTTTTGTGTATCGAGATTTAAATTTCGTATCGAATTAGGCTTAGATTAAGTTAAACTGATTAAAATATAATTCGAGTATGTTTTTACTTTGTTAAACATAGACTTGTGATTATGTAAATTAAAAGATCTGGGTCTGATCCTAGGATCATGAGAAAAATGAATTTTTCCGTCGCCTAATATTGTTTCCGGTATTTTTAACAGGCCCATTACTACTAGAATATAAAAATGCTTCTCAATATAAGAAACTTGAAAATTAATAGTTAGTTTTTGTTTTGAGTATAAACAATAAAACCAACCTTACTTTCAAATCGATACAAAAACTATTGTAAAAACATCGACTATAGCACATCACTACAATGAAGTTGGCACAACAAATTCAAGTGGAATGAAATGATGGATCTGGTTTTAGTCGAGTTCAAAGAGCTCGCAGGTTTACTTGACAAAGGTTCGTACTAAACTAAACCGGTTTGGATTTTGTTTACTTACATAACCCATTTACTGATTGTCGGTTTTATTTGTTCTCAGAAGTAGTTTTTTTAAAAGAACTGAGTTTTCGGGTGCAGATTGGTATGAAAGATATGACTATATTTTTTTTTAAGATGTTGTTATGGGCCAAGAAGGTGATTTGATGGTTAAAGTACGTAAATTAGAACAAATAAAAAATCGTTTTGCATTTTGAGCGTTGATATGGCATACTTCATAACTCTAGTTAATTCATAGTTCTTATAATAAATTGTTGCTTTTTACTATCGAAATATTACGCTGTACGAACATATGCACGAGCACAAAAAATGTGTATAAAATCTTCGCACACTAAACTAAACGTGGCAACCACTAAAACAACGAGGCAGGCAACCCTAATCCATTCAATTCCAAACCAATAAAACATATCGCCGTACGCAACACAGCACCCAAATATTAGGCCACCTCTAAAACAAAAAAGAAACGCAAACAATTTTTAAATATCGCACAGTTTACATTGCTGGTGTTATACGTCATGATGTGATACTGGCTCCCACACAGCCAGCCATACGTCATGTACTTGGCGTTTTTATAGCCTAACCGTCCATCGCTGATATTTGCACTTAGATCCACGATTTAATAGGTCCCCGTTGACAGATATTGTTTTGTATGAAATTTTTCAACATATGTGTTAGACAATGATGGTGGACAATGGACTTTGTTAGAATCCATATATTTTATACCGTTTCGATGTTTTTATTGAGCAGTAAAACATGAGTTATCAGATTTTTTGGTTATGACATGTCGTGTACGGTTATTGGGATCAGGGGTTTGAGCAATGGGTTTACATATTGATCAATACTTTTTATTAAAGACTTATTTGTTCATAGTTCATTGAGAATTCAACTAAATTTTCATTAAAGTGAAGACTTAAGACATCTATAAATAGCGTATTAAATAAACAAGATGCTATTACAGAAGCACCTTATCATTAATAGAGATCTTCGCAATATTCTAAACTTAGTCATTGAACAAGTATTTCCAAAGGGTGAAATATTTGAATATAAATGTGAGAAAATGCGGAAGATCTCAATGGGGATCTAGAAACTACCTATTTCAAGGAAACCTAACTTTGTATTCTATTCAGTAGTAGCTGACATAAAACGAACTCTTTACTAGAAGGCTAGGTGTTGTTCGGAAAAATTTTGGGTTTCAGTGACAAAGGTCATGTCGATAAGGGTGGCAAGCTAAATTATGTAATCGTGACGTTTGTACTTCTGCTGATGTATGAACTCCTGGTACATTTTGTTTTTGTTTTAAGAAAAAAATATTTTTGTGGTTATTTAGCGTAGCTATTTAACAGAGCTGTAAATTAAAAAAAATACATAGGTACTTTATGGTGAAAAGTATTTGTATTTGGTAAAATAGCGTTATAATAATAACTTCAAAATTCAATAGCAACAAGTTGGAAAGTTACACAATCAATTCCCACATAAATTGAGTCGTATAAAACGCATCATCAATATCAAGTTAGTCTAAAATAAGTGCGGACAACAAAACTGTCTTAGCCGGACATCAATAGGCTGTTACTCCATTTCACTAAGAACCTACCAATTTATCTCCCGTCTACACCACAATAGACAAATTCTCATTCATTTATCAAAGCCAAATAACCTAAAAAGAGGGAAAAACAATAGTCCCCCCCGCGTCTACTTTGGAATGAATTAATCAGCGCAGTCACGATCGCCAGTAACGATGGCACGAAGCAAAATATAACGAAAGAAGTTTTCTTTCTAACTTGAACGAAGTACTAGACAGTTCGATACCGGCTATTGGTGTTTTATACAAGTTTTTACGTCGTTCCTATTATTATCTTGTGTGTGCAATGGCGTGAAGATGATTGGATTTGTTTTATTGGACGGTACAAAGTTTTGCCATCACTCAAAATTATTGATGTGGCTCTCTTTAAGTGCTGTTTCGTGATTGGTATGAAAACGAATAGTTGTTGTTTGAATTTCTTTTGCAGAATCATTTAAGTAGTTGGGGTTTTGTGAAGTTCCTGTATTTACGCAAAAAAAAACATCAGTAGGTAACAATATTTTAAAAATATTTCGAGTATTCTAGATTGAATAACATAACATCACGCCTACCGCTTCGGGAATAAAATGCGTGATGTTATGTTATGTTATGTTATTCTAGATTGATTTCAAACGATTTTTTTTAATTTGAAGTCACTGGTCGAACTCCTCAGTTCATAAAATTTTAAGTTATCTTTGCTGGTTGGAGATGTTACTCGGTTTTATTTTATTGTGCATGGGAAATACTTTACGCAATTACTACTATAACCTTTGAAAATAAACTGTACATAGTTTGTTGTTATTTCACTTGTAAAATTCTAAAACGAAGGACAAAGCATAGTAAATTAGAGTACGCAAGATGTTCATCAATCAATATTGTCAAACGAACCTGATCAACGTTACTAACTCGCGGTACCAGGATTCCATAAATCAAGCGAAGTAATTGAAGGTTTTAATTTAATCGGCTAAAGTGATTGTTAAGGCTGGAAACAATTCTGACGATGATAAAATTAGAGGAACCAAGTAATTTATTATTGTATTTGTATCTATTTAGGGTGTAATTTGGCATTAATTATTGTCCTAAGTTCTTTGCATTTAATGATGAACCGAAAAATTAAATGAAAAATGAACCTTATGTATACAATCATAACTTAATTTATGCAGAAATAAATAATATTTACTAGTGTAATATTAATCCTAATTTTCGCATGACAAAGTAAAATTGATTAGCAATCGACAAACTTGTCGAAACAGCTACCAGGCAAACATAAATCACAGAGAGTCATTGCAGAATTTAATTTAACCTACTAAGCATTCTTTTTGTTCCAGCTCGCCTTAAAAGCAAAAAAAGCTTGTACAGGCAACGTTGCGGGACAATCTCGGGTGTTAATATAAATTTCATGAGCCAAGCTATCGCTGCGTTGCTGTTTTATTAAAAGGCCGTTGTTTAGGCTCGATTCATATTAAAGTTAATCCTGTGTCACACCGTCCCGAACGTGGGAATTTATTTATTGGTACTAGAATGTAGGTCACGTTCGAACAAGTCTTGTAGGTCGTTTAGGTAAAAAGGTTCTTATGTACTAAACGTAGGACGTGTAATGGAAAACGATTTTTGTAATAGATGCAGGATCGCAGCTAGTTTTGAATTTTTAAATTAGAAACTTTAATGTAGAATTATATGTATACTAGCGGACCCGACAGACGTTGTCCTGTAAAAATAGGTATAGATAAATAACCTAGAAACCGACTGCAGCGCCATCTGCCGGGCTAATTTGTGAATCTAAACCATTCCCACATCCCCTTGAACACACACAAAAAATTTCATCACAATTGGTCCAGTCGTTTGAAAGAAGTTCAGTGACATATACGCCCACAGATGAATTATATATATAAAGATATAAATAGGTACATCATTGCAAGTTTTAAATGGTATGTCCTTTATGAACTTTAACAATTAATTGAAATAGTTACATTAAATTTAATGTAAGAATAAAATATTTTTACGTTCGAATAGTTTCAAAGAAATATAACAATGATGTTCTTTTACTTTTTTATTTTGAGTACAATCAATAAACAAATCTCAATATCTCACTAAACACACAACTAAAACTGTGAAAAAGTAAAACAAAAAGACCATGTAGTATTTCTCGAAAACGCATCTTACAAAACTGCTACGGTGTAACAGGCGGTTCTAAAAACAGGGGCGTAGCAGCGTAGTATTACTTATTAAAAGGTCGCAGGAAAGCTAGCTTGTAATTAGCCAGCAACTCGAAAGATGAACCAAGGCCTATGGGAACCATGACTCGGTAAGTACCAGCAACCCGTTCCCAAAGTTTTACGGAGTTAATTATTAGAATACAGCTTAAGAGTAGCTAATTCGAAATTGGTGTTTGCAAACTCTTATTACGATGTCGTTAAATTGTATTAAAATGATGTTTTTTATTACGTTTTGTTATTATTTGCATTGGATTTTTAATGGTTTGGTTATAAGGTTGATTTTTGTTTGGTCATAAAGAATATTGACTAACATCAAGCCAGTTACATAGTCGACCAACTGGTGACAGTTTCCAGCCTATTGGATAAGACCTTAGCTCACTAGTGTCATCTAATGAGTATTAAATTGATAGCCATCAAAGTTTGATGATAGATATAAAAACACACATGCTTTTGTGAAGTATTGCAAATTATCATTAGTACATTTCAAAGAAATAAAGTCTCTGTGTCATTGCAGTTGAGAATCAGAATTAATTAACAAAAAGCACATGTAACCGGTCTTTGGTATGTTAATTAATAAAGCGTTACATTCAAGCCACATTTTGTAAATGAGGTAAGTAAAGTTGAGGCCTACCAGTAAGACATGGGTCCTCCTTGGTTGCGTCATCGACAGATCGAGACTTACCTGGAAAATAGAAAATACTATATTAAAAAAGACATCAATATTACATTAACAAAGATGTTTCTGTGAGTTTTGCTAATAATATAATAATTTAGGAATAAAAACAATACTCTCTTTTAATATCTCAAGAAAAGCTGAGAGTAATTGTTACATTGGACTCCATGTATCTACTGAGAATTTTGAGATTCCAATAATATTCACCCAATACTAAACCACTGAAGCAGTTTTTCCTGATGAATTTATTGAATGGGAATTATTATTCCCATTCAATACTATTCAAGTTACTCAATACCTAAGTTCCTCAACAACTAAAACGGGCAGTTTTTGATATTTCCATATCATTAACCCCAAAAAATTTAAGAAAATATCAGCAAATCTTTATTCACTAGAGAACGAGCAAGATTCTTTTAACCGTAAGTTAAAGTATCGAGAAATATTTGTCACACCACTGGTTTGATTGACACCCCATTAATCATCAAGAGACCAGTCTTTGAGACAAACTTCGTTGAAGAAAAATCAATGTTCTGCAAGTTCTGATTCTTTTAAAACATAAAAAGAAATAACGAATATTGGAAAATAATATGGTGCTCTTCAGAAGTTTAGAAAGAGGGCGTTATTGAGATTGTTACTTGGGATACGTTTCTGATTTGTTTCTTATTTGGGATAATTTTGATTTATGAGTTATATAATAATTGGAATAGGACTTCAATGAATACTGAGGATATAGTTTATAATGACTGCCTCGTTGGCCGAGTGGTCGTAAGTGCGACTGCCGGGCAATGGGTCTCGGGTTCGATTCCCGGGTCGGGCAAATTATTACTGGGTTTTTCAAAATTGTCAGTAGTAGCACGGAGTCTGGAATTGTGCCCAGTATGGCAATAGGCTCACCCCCTATTACATGGGACTCGTAACATAAATAGTGAAAAGTGGGTGTTACATTGTCAATGGCATAATGTGCACCTCTGCCTACCCCTTCGGGGATAAAGGGCGTGATGTTATGTTATAGTTTATAATATTTAACATAATCGTGATAAAATGATCAAGTTATAGGACGACGTGCTCCATTACAGACCACATCACCGCTTACTACTACGCGAGATAGTGGTTAAACGGTGTATCTAATATAGAAAAAAAGTTGGCGTATCTACTAATTATCTTAAACAATACATAAGTGGTTTCTATAGGCAAGTGACCGAAAATAAAATTAGGTTATCTGATATATACGTTAACACTCCACTGTCATCATACAACGCATCCACTGCTAAACATAAGTAGACACTGTAAAAAAAAAGAATTCATTTCACAAAAACCAACATTGAGAGTATTCAAAATTGACACTAATCATTTCCAAAATTACGTTAACTATTCCGAACCACTGAATTCGTACTTAAATTAATCCATCACAGTCAGACCTCGTAATTTCATAACCAACTGATTGACATTTCGGAGCTAACAAATAATAGTTGATATATTAATAGGCATGTATAATTAACGACAGCTGCACCACATACGAGTGTCGACCACCAAACCACATTCCATTAGTAATTATTGTTCAATAGAAATATCCCGTTTTACGTGGAAGTGATTTTATTACTGATCAACAGCGTAATTGGTTTTCGTATCTGTTTAAAACATAACTTGCATTGATGTTTAAAAGGGATTTGTTCATATTGAATTAAAGAAATGTTTGTCAAATTCCTAAAAACTAAATTCACAACGACGAGGAAACCAATTTGTTCCGTTTCAGTGTAAGTAATCCATATAAAATAGAGAAATTCAATCGACCGACATTTTAAGCAATAAGGTAAGTAAGCTCAATCGAAAGTACCAGGCGAGCAGAAACTCGTGAGAGACACGTAACATGCCAGCGATAAAGTAAAACGATAACCGGCTAGTTTCCACAAAAAAATAATTTTGAGTCCGTGTCCTTTTCTTGATAGAATTGTCCGTAACTCCCAGGAGCCTTCATGAGCCCTTGAATTATTTCTATGAAATAACTCCTTGCCGTGGCCCGAAAATAATTGGGGAAAAGAAAGAATGAAAGAAAAAAACGCGCACAGAAACTAACCGTTCCCAAAAAGGCAATTTCACTCGCAATCATGAGAAATAACGATATTACCCCATAAACTTTCGACGTGAAACCTAAATATCTCCTCATACCTTTTTACTTCTTTACAGACATTGTTTATTTTATATACGTGGACCATTCCAGCGGTCCTATGATATTTTTATTGTGAGGTGAACGAAAACGATGCTGTCCCTTCTGTTTATTGTGTTTTAAGTTTGGTGAACGTTTAGAATTTTTATGTTGAATTTTATCGTGGCACTGGGCCATGGAGCGCTCAGGTAGGAATCATTACGTGTTTGAATTTCAACTAATGTTCGTAGTGTCGCTAGTGTAGCATTGAGTAGTATTTTCTTTTTCGGGACAGTGGAGCGCGTAGGACATAATGTAATGTGGGTTGGTAATGTTCCCGCTAAAACCTTTACGACTACGGCCCCCTTGAGACCCTTTGTTGCGTTGGGTATCGAAACTCGGTGTTTTTCAATAACTACATTTTATTTTTTGTTAAATTATTCTTACACGCGTTTAAAGTTTACCCCATATCATTATTCCAGGAAATACGTAGCTGTAGGCAAAGGAAAGAAGTTTTGAAATACCTTTGCTTCGTATGAATAAAATATTTCCCGAAAATAAGCTTCTTACCCCGTCAATTCCTATGATACTCGCTGCGTCCTTGTATCAGATTTCAAGCGAGCTTATAGCCAAGTGTACACATGAATAGTTGGCGACAGAATCAGACTTCCTATAATCCCATACCGTCCACAAATCTTTAATATCAGAAGCAAAAGTTTGGAATACAGATATGAATAATGGCTAAACTCTGGATGCATTATACATGAGTACCCAGATACTGGTAAATAAAAATAACAAAAATGTTTGACTCGTTGGTTGAGTGATTGCAAAAGTGGACTAAATGTAATTGAGTATTTCAAAGTACTTTTTGATACCACGGAGTTTGGAATCGTTATTTATTTATTTTATACTTTATTGCACACACAGAAAAATGAGTATACATTGTAATACGTAAGGGTAAGTGTGGGAAAGCCATGCTTCGGCACAAATGGGCCGGCTCGACCGGAGTGATACCACTTCCTCACAGAAAACCGACGTGAAGCAACGCTTGAGTTGTATTTCGTCGTGTGAGTGAGGTTACCGGAGGCCCAATTACCCTCCCCTTCCTCAATCTCCCCAATCCCTGAATCCCCAACGATCCTCAAAGTCCTAATCCCTAAAGGCCGGTAACGCAGTTGTAACGCCTCTGGTGTTCCAGATGTTCATGGTTGACGCGGATTGCTTAAAATCAGGTGATCCTTCTGCTAGTTTATGCCAAAAAAAAAATAGTAATTGTTATTGTCGTTATTACTAGTTCCAAGTGGGACCTACAAAATAACTCACGAAAACATTTTTTTTTATGGAATTGGAGGCAAACGAGCTGACGGATCACCTGATGGTAAGCGATCAGCGCCGCCCATGGAAACACGCAACACCATAGTGTTATATTTTTAAATACTACACTAAATTGTATAAATCTTTAGTAATATAAACTGCTTTTCCTCCAAAATATAGGACACCTCTATAAGAAATGTTTAGTCATAATCTCCATGTTTAACGGACAGGTTGGACATTGCATTTTAAAACATTTAGGTTCATCAGGGAGCTGAGTCTGTTCTTACTCGTAAGATACCCGTGGATAAGGGAAGGCTAGTATCGACTTTGCCCTCATTTTCTCTATCTACAAACAAACCAATAATTCCTTACATTGTAACACTTTATGTGCGAGATCAGTACAACATGTATTGTCCTTGGCCTGTTTGTGGTTTTATTGAAATCTAAAACGGCCTGCTTAGTGATGCGGCAGTAACTGCCGTGGAGCAAAGTTGATGGAGCGCGCTGAGTGACGGGGGTGACAGTGTTTCGTCAAGTTCTTGTTGATAATAACACGTAATAGACTTTTTATATCGAAAGAGGCGTGTGGTGGGAAGGATATTTTTGTGGTTTTAAATATTACTTTAATTAACATATTGACTGAGCAACTAGCTACCGCGCATCGTGTCGCGGATTCGATTCCCGCACGGAACAACTCAAACCCGAAACAACAATCCACAGATTGTTGTTTCGGGTGTGTATGTGATAATGTATGTTTGTAAACGCACCCACGACACAGGAGAAAATCCTAGTGTGGGGCAACATAAAAAAAAACATAAAATAATATTAGTACCAGCGCGACAGTCGCCGCGTTGCGGGTCGCGAAATGCTGCTCATGAATATGAGCCTATAGCATGGCTTGAAACTAGTCGAGTTCCTCGTCAATTTATTACGTGAGTAAGCCGAAAACATAATAATTTATTTAGTATGTCTCACGAAAGTTAACAATAAAAGAATATATATATGTCGGAGGAAGCTGGGAGTTAATTGTTACTTGCATTGCATAACGCACATTAATTTTTATTTGTTTTATATTCACTTTTTAAAATGCCTAAATTAATTTAAACTGATTTGTCACACTTAAAATTCTTAATTTGATTTATTAGAATTATTGATAATTTGAATTTGACTTCCTAAGTAACGACCAATCAGAGCAGAGCGCGCGCCTCGAGCGGGGTCGAAGCGCCATCTTACTGATAAAAAAAAGGAGAGATAGTTTTGGCGGGAGAGCATGAATTAGCCATCGGTCGAGGCGGATCGTTTATGTAATTTTACTGTAAGATTGGTGCCCTGAACCCGCTGCTCAGTCCTAATTATTAACTTTTCTTTTACGTTATTGTGAAACAGATAAAACTATTGTTACTATCTAAATTAAAATAGTGTTTATTGTGATCGTTGTGTTTTGTGCTCGCATTTTACCCTCATGACGCCCACTAAGCCCGCAATCACTAATGACGATGTCGGCGATGACAATGTTTCTCCGACATATATATGTATATCTTTACTACCTTTG